TGCGTGGGCGAAGGGGAAGCTTCATGTGCCACATCCCCCCAGGATCTCTGCCGGGGGAGTGGGAGCAGCCCAGGCTGTGCCCTCTGCGTTCTGGGACCCAGGAGCTCACCTGGGGAGGACCTGGCAGCATCCAGAGGCTCAGGTCCTGCTGTCCCCGCCGGTGCCTGGGCCGTGCCCGAGGCCTGGGGCTCTGGGGACTCCGGTTCAGTGCTCTGAGCTCCGCTCCCACCTCTCTGCGGCCGTGCCCCCCTGACCGCCTTCCTCTCCCTCACAGATTGAGACTCACAAGCTGACCTTCCGCGAGAACGCCAAAGCCAAGACCGACCACGGCGCCGAAATCGTCTACAAGTCCCCGACCATCTCCGGAGATGCCTCCCCGCGCCGCCTTAGCAACGTCTCCTCCACCGGCAGCATCAACCTGGTGGACTCCCCCCAGCTGGCCACGCTAGCCGACGAGGTGTCCGCCTCGCTGGCCAAGCAGGGCTTGTGATCACGGCACGGCGGCCGCCAGGAGAGAAGACAAGGAAAGGAAACAAAAAAGAAAAGAAACAAAAATAATAATCTGGCCTTCTTCCTCTGTTCCTTTTACAGCTGCTTCCCCGTCCCTAACTGGTTAATGATTTAACCTGCTTTTACTGTTCATTCAGCTCTAGCTCCAGGACTTCAAAATCAGTGACACTATGAGGTACAAAACCTCCTCTCCCCCTGCTCCTCGGAGCGCACAGCCCGTCCCCGTCCCCTGCTCCCCGCGCTCCTGCCGCGTCCCTCGCTGTCCCAGCCCGGGAAGGGGCGGCCACAGCACGACGCTGACCCGAGCACCCCACAGCAGCACAGGGCAGCGGGTGGCTCTCCCGGGCAGGGGCTGTGACCGTGCCCAGCCCGTGCCCTGCCGCTGGCCCACGGGCCGGACGCGTCCCGGGCGCGCAGCCAGGGCTGCGGGGGGGTGCCCTCCCTCCCCGCGTCAAATTTGCCTGCTGATTTGGAAGAAACCTTTTGTTTTTATTTCCGAAAGCCGAGATGTGTATGAAGATAACGGCCAGGTACCCCCTAACCCGCTCTCAGCTCCGGCAGCTGGAGTTCAGGCGACGCCGGGTGCCCGCTCCGAGGGTCCCGGACGGCCGTTCCCCTCTCCGTGGCTGTGCTGGAACCGCTGAGTGGATGAGTAGAGGCTTTTCCCCATTCCTTTGGCAGCCCCTCGTGTCGTAGAGTAGATTTGTCTGTATATGCTTGGACCGTGCCAGGGTGATTGTTTTCATAAATGAGCATGTGTTTAAAAAATAAATGCTGTAAGTAGTTTTGAGCTGCCCCGAGCCGGCTCCGCCGCAGCCCAGCCGGGGCCCGGGGAGCTCGGCCGGCCCCGGGTGCCGCAGGAGGAGCCCGGCACCGCATGTCTGCCGGGGGGGCTGCCCGGGGAGCTTGGATGAGGGGCACTCACAGCTCCAGGGCTGGGATGGCTCCTGGATTTGGGTGCAGCTTGTGACATTTTTGGGTTGTTCTTTTTCTTTCCCTGCAAGGTCAGCTCAGCGATGGCGGAGGTGGCAGCTCCATGGCTCTGCTGTGCCGGTGGCAGCGGTGAGACCCCGGGAGGACGCGGGGGAGGCGGCAGCAGCTCCCCCAGCCCGGGGCCAGCGGCTGCTCCCCGGCACTGAACCCCCTTTCCGGGCGCTCCCCGGGTGTGAGTTGGCAGCGTCTCACCCCTCACACAGCCCCGACTGCCCCGGCAGCGCTCGGGGACAGGAGCCAGTCGAGTTCGTTCTTTGGCTGCTTTTGTTCCCCTGTGGCTCTCTGGGGAGCACGAGGGGGTCCTGCGGCCATCCCCGCCTGCCCCTTCCCTCTTCAACCAAAGAGGCCGAGATGCCGCCGGTGCAGCTCCGGGTGTCCCGTGGGCACAGCGGGGAGGGCAGAGGGGCCCTGCTGGGGCCGCACCCCCGGGCTGTGCTGCAGGGAAAGCCGCGCTTTCCCAAGGGCTGGAATCCTGCTCTGACAGGGCTGGCGGGGGGTCAGGGCCCCTGGTTGTCCTTGGGGTGGTGGCTGGGTGCCACCAAGGCTGTGAGAGCAGCAGTTCCTCCAGGACAGGACGCGCTCCCATCCTGCGGGAGCTGAGAACCCTCTGCGGGGCTGGGCAGCTGCAGGCCTGGCCGTGGATGGGGATGGTTTGGGGGGCCCAACCCTTCTCTCTGCAGCCCCAGGAGCTGCTTTACTGCTGGGGAGAGGCTGGTCCAGCACCACCACCATGTCCAGCTTGTCACTCGCTCCGTTCACTTGACTCATGATTGTAAGACTCTGTGCTCCGTCCCCGACTCTGTAGCGCTGTAGGAGCCGCCGCGGTTTTTGTCCTTTGTAGAACGAGCAAGTTGGGAGAGCCCTCAAAGCATCACCTCCTCACCCCTGCCAGGCTGCAGGACGGGGTTGCTGAGCTCGCCTGTCCTGTGCCACCCCTGTCCCCTCCGTGCAGCCCCTGAGGGACAGCAGCACCCCGGGCTGGGATGTCCTTTGTGCGCCTGAGCTCCAGTGAGCGACCCCTTCCTACTCTGAGTGTCCTCGGCCCCGGCCGTCGTCCCTCCCGGGGCTGTGGGTGCCAGGGCAGCCCTTTACATCCACAGTGTCACCCGCTGTCCCCTCCAGCAGCCCGAGCCACGTCCCCTGCCCCAACCCTGCCTTCAGACCCAGGCCTGAGGGTCCCTGTGAGCAGCCGGACAACCTGAGCCCGGCTTTTCCTTTACTCCACACACATCCTGGGTCTGAAAAGGGTTAAAACTGGCACTGATTTGAAGAAAAAAAAAAATAAAAAAAATCGTATTTCTGCACTCCAAAAAAATTCTGCCTGTTAGCAAAGGTCGGTGCCAGCCTGTGTGGTGTCGGCTGCGCCGGGGAGGGGAGGGAAGGTTTGATCTCAGTGTATCATTCTAGCTTAGCTTCTGTCTGTGGGTGTCCATAGTGTATCGTGTGTTTAACAACTGGTTTACACTGTTGCCGTAAAAGTGAATTTGGAAATAAAGTCATTACTACGATAATGATAATTGGCACCTCTTTTGCACGGGGGGACGTGGGGTGGGGGATCCATCCACAGAATCCCCAGCTGGGCACAGAGGGGCAGCGACTGGTTTGCAGTTCCTCCTTTCCTTTTCACACTCCCACACCTGTCCTGGGGCTCAGAGGGGTGCAGGAGGGGTGACCCTGCCTGGTGGAGCCGGGAAGAACACAGCAGTCCCTGGAAGAGAACCAGCAGCACCCAATTAACCCCAGAAATGTAAAATAACCCCCAGCCCGGGGGTTCCTCCTCTTGCTGACTGTAACTGCTGGAAAAGAGCATCACACAGGAGGGAAGCAGCTGATCCGAGTGCACTGAGGGCCCCTTCCCTGTCCCAGCCCAGCGTTTCACACTCATCAAATGGAATATTACATTTTAATTTTTTTTTTAATCTTTTCTTCTTTTTTTTTTTTTTATAAGCACATTTGTGCTTTGCCAACAGAATCAAGACATTAACAAAGATCAGCTTCTCGGAAGAAAAGCATTTCTATATAACAAGGACATTACACAGCTCAAAGCAGGAAAAGAAAATATTTACAAAATACAAGGTGGGTTTTTTTTTTGTGTGGTTTTTATAATGCTAAAAGGGTTATTCAGAATTTTCAACCTTATAAATAGAAAAGCACTTCTGCAGAGGGATATGGTAGCGCTGTTTGTTGGGTTTTTGTTTTAAAGAAACAATGACGGATCCCTTAAACTAGAACAGAACCAAAACCACGAGATCATGTTGAAAATTGTGAAAACCCCGACCATGAAGCAGTTCAGCGACTATTTCTTTACGATTACAAAATGGAAAAAAAAAAAGTCCTTTGTATTTTTTTTTTCCGTTTTTTTTGGTGATGTGATTATACATAAGACAGGCACAATGCTAGCAACAGGACAGGCCCAGGAGCCACACCGTCAGGACCGGGAAGCGTTACGGATGGGGACGGCGTGTGGGGTCCGGGATCGCTGCGGGTGCGGAACCGGGCGGGAGGGGACGGGGAGGAACAAACTCAAAAACCTGTCAGGAGCGGGCGCCGCCAGCGCCCGGAAACGAAACGGAACCGACCCCGGTGCCGGGACGGTGCGGGAGTGGAGCGAAGCTGTGGTGACCCCACGTGGGTTCGGGATGACCCCGATCCCCCAGGAGCCGCCTCCTGCCTCCATCCTTCCCTCTCTGATCCCCCTTGTCTGGCACAAACCCACCTGCGGGACCCCGGCCCGCGGCTCCCCGAGCCCCCAGCGAGGGCACAACTCCGGCACTGGCCACAGCCCCGTTCCAGCTGCACAGCCTCACCCCAAAGGGCATCCAAGGGCCCCGGGAATTCTGCTCCTGCTCTGAGCATCGCGGACTCTTCCCCTCCCTGCCCTCGAAACGCAGCGGGAGCGCACGAGCTGTGCACCCAGCTCCCACCCCTGCCACGCCGAGCTGACTGTGCAGCGCCCACGGGATCCCTCCTTTCCCCCTGCTGGGAACAGCCACTGCTCCAAACCAGGGGAGAAGGAAGGGGAAGGTGTCCCCAGGGGCAGAGGGAGGATCAGGGAGGAACAGAAACCCCCTTGGGATACCTGGAACTACAACCTGGGGCAGGAAAATCCAGGAGGGTGGAAGTGCAGGTGGGCACTCTGCAGGTGAGGACAGCCAGACAGTGAAGGTTGCAATCCCAAGACATCACTTTTCACCACTAATTTCACTCCACTAAAACCTTTCAGGGTGGGGGGAGTGGGTTAAGAGAAAACGACACCCTTTTGTTGGGAAAAACTATCCCCGAAATCTGCTAGTCAGCTAAATCCTGTGCTCTAGTTTTATACACCTAAAGGAGGGAGGAAAGGGGAGGGGGTCTGGTGGGCTGCTCCCCTCCCGAGGCTTCACTCCACTGGGAGGAATCTGGGGGTCATTCATGTGACGAGGAAACACGGAGAAGGAAAAAAATAAAAGAAAAAAGAAAAAAAAAAAGAA